AAAAGTTGGTCAAAACTGATCTTTGTGCATTCTGCACTGCTACAAAGAGTATTTCTCAAGGCCAGAGAAAAGCCTATTGCTGCAAGCAAGTGGTAATGAGATGATGGCCTAAATAAAGATTTCAGCTGTGTGGCTGCATGAGAAAACATATTCTGCAGAAAAAGTCTTCAATACATGCACTTCGGGTGTCAGAACCTCAAGAGGAGTAAAAAAAGAACAACTGTAAAAAGATGAAGGAAAGATGAGCTGGGAAGAGTGCAGTTATGTTGTGCTTCATCAGTATGATATCTCAGTGACACACTGTAGAGAGTGAAAAGTGCAGGAGGAGATAGCAATTTGAAGAGTGAGTCAATAGTGGCAAAGCAGCAAGGGAGAAGTACAGCTAGTTATCATGGAAGGTAGAAGAACAGGAGCTGGCAGAACAAATGCCTAATGCAGCACTAACTGCACTGTGGGACTGACAACAGAGCAGGAGCACAGGTATAGTCACCCAGAGACAAAACAGAGCTCACAAGATAAGACAAGGTTGCAAGTTGGCAGAGTGAAGCTTTTGGGATGGGGACAGAGACCCTAAAAGATAAAGATGAGCAAGAAATGGACAGAATCTGCAAGAATATTCAAGGAACAAAAGACAAGATGTAGAGAGCTAAGAGAAGATGAGAAAGCATCAAAGCTAGAAGTCTAGACATCATGGAAAGACCAAGTGACAGGCATGGTGACAGCCCTCAACTCAGTGATGAGAAGGAACCAGTTATGATCAAAGTGGGAGCACTCTGCACAGTAGATCAGAAATGAAGCCTCATAGGTAAACACAAGAACTAAATTGGGGCTGCAGGCCACATAAAGACAATAAAGGTAAAGTTCAAGGGGCAGATGAGTCGACACTGAAGCTCACCATAGAGAAAAGCTGGAGGCTGCCAGAAGATACTGCTTCACACATTGTCAAGACAAAACAAAATTCTCCACAAAGCATGCTGCCCTGGTAAGTTGTGGAGGCAGACAATATCAGCAGATTCAAAGAGGGACTGGACAAATTCATGGACAACTTCATCATAAAAGATGCTAATG